TACCGATTTTTGCTGAATATCTATTCTTAATAAGTTCATAACCCAGAGTGAGTGGGTAGGAAATGATGAACTTACCGACAGAAAGGTTGAGTTTGTTAAACTCTTAATAAATTCAAATCCAAGTATTTGGATGGTTCTAGTGAGAATGACTTATTGAATTTACCGATAAATGAGGTTGAATATTTATTCTTAATGACTTCTTAGCCCAGAGTTTGGGTGGTTCATTTATAATAAACTTGAAGAAAGTCATCATACCCTTTGTGAGGTTGAGATTTTATAAAAGCTCTTAATTATTTCATATCCCTGTTAAGGGTGGTTTATATCGAGATAAACTTGATGAAATAACCTATGTAAGTGAGAAGGGTTAGTCGCCTTCTATGAAAAATATTGGGCCATTTTTCTAGCACACTTACTAGAATTCTGAGGTAAGATGGCCAAATATATACTTTTGTATATATATATCTTACACATCGAGGACTCAGGTGGATGAATGGGTTAGTTGTGTGTTATGAGTTTACCCCTATCTTAGAAAGTTCCAGACTAGTTTCACTTATCTAAGATAAGGATTGCTCATCATCACTATGTACTATTTCCAGATACGTTCACTAGTGCTTAAGCAACTAATCTCGCTATTGCTCTTCTGGAAAGTTTGTTTTCGAGTTTCAGAAGAATTATTTTGCATTAGTGGGGGAATATTAATAATGCTCAATCCCACATAGTATTGGAAATACTATTGGGAATGGGTATTTATGGTTTGGAATTCCCACTTACTTGTTGAGTGAAAGAGAACAAGGGGGACTCTCGCGCACCGCCGCCGCCGTCGCCGTCTGTCTTGTCTCGGCACGACACAACACGGCTCGGCTCGGCTCGTGGTCGTGGTCGTGGTCGTGGTAATACGTGTCTTCGACACGTCCGCGCGGATACTATCTTTTTAGAGAAAATTCTTGAGGAATTTCTCTTTGAAAGAAACAAATGGAAAAATGTGAAAGATTTCAACTGATATTTATAGGCTGTTGAGGACTGTTTAAATTCAAATGATAACAGCTAGTTTATGAGAGTTATCAGAAATTAAACAGCTTTTCCTAAATTAAATAAAAAAACGTTAAGATGTATCTGAACTGATTTACAGCTTTGTACAGAGGGGACAAGCTGTTATTATCAGGAATTACAGGAGTTATTTGATTTAATTCTAGGGGTTACATGATATAATTTCGGGAGTTATAACAACTGAATAATGATGCAATGAACCTGGACTATTTTTGAGTCAGGTTCATCTAGACGTTTTAGCTGTTACAAAAGAAGAGATTTAATCCTGAAATTTTATGGACGATTTTAACCCTATTTTTAGCCTATAAATATAGGGCTATATTCAACTTCTCAACTCACTCTCAACATTCACAATTCACTCTCAAAGTGTTTTTTTTGCAATTATTCTTTCTGTGCTTTCCGATAAGAAGAGCAATACCACCGGCAGTTCACTCCGATTTCTGGTGTACAGAATTCGGAGCGACCGTGTTAACCTCGGGGAACGGTCCGCCTACTGCAGCGATTACACACATCGGGTTGAATTCGTTTCTAAGGCAGTGGTTATACCACGACATGGTTTACGAATATGTTCATTTTAATTACTGTTTATATTTCCAGTCAGTGCTAACGGTGTAGTTTTACAGTTCATAAATCCAACAATTCGCACCCTTACTAATGATCAGGGTCAAGTGTTGGATACTCATGAGGACATCACTACTAAGATTATTCGGTACTATAAGGCTATAGTGAGGAGCCCTGATTTATCCATTTCTGGTACTAGTGTTGACCTGGTTAAGGAGGTGTTGTGGTGTACTTTCTCGAACAATACAAAGGAGCTCTTTTGTCGAAGGGTGATTAGGGACGAAATAAAGGCCTCTATATTTTTCCAGCATCTTAATAAAGATCCTGGCCCGAAGGGGTTTACTTTTTGTTTCTATCAAACTGCTTGGTTGATTGTGGGGAACGATTTCATTGATGCGATTATTTACTTTTTTTTAATCATTCTCGATTCGATTTTTGTCTACTCTTAATGGTACCACTTGGTTTTGGTTCTTAAGAAGGTGAATTCAAATCAAGTAAGAGATTTCAGGCCCACTTATTACTGTAATATGGTGTATAAATGTATTACATGTATCATTGTTAATAAGATTAAATATTTTCTTCCTGAGGTCATCTCTCAAAGCCGATGTCTTCTTATCCCTAGAAGGTCGATTATTGATAACACTCTCATGGCTCATGAGCTGGTTTAAGGCTATAATAGAAGTTCTCTCCCCCCCCCGATGTGCTCTTGAGCTTGATTTATGGAAAGCATTTGATTATGTGAATTGACAGTTTTTGTTGACTGTTCTGGAGGCCTTGGAAATACCTAGGGTGATGATTGGCTAGATCAAAGAGTGTGTTACCACTCCCAAATTCTCCATTTCTTTGAATGGTGGTTTGTTGAGGTTCTTTAATAGGGTTAAAGGGGTTCGTTATGGGGATCCCTTGTCCCCATATCTATTTTTTTATTACCATGAATGTTCTTTATCGTCTTCTAAACAAAGCTGTTGGGTATGGGGTGTTTCGCTTCCATCCTAAGTATCACAAAATTTGCCTCACCATTTTTTGTTTTGTTGACGATCTCTTGCTTTTCACTGAGGGGATTTGTGGATTCAGTTGTGGGGTTTGGGAAGTTTTGAAGTTGTTATATGGTTTCTCGATGCTACAAATTAATCCTTGTAAGTTTGAAATATTTTCTTTTGGGGTTAATGAGGTTGTTTTGACCAAGGTCTCTCAAGTCACTGGTATTGGCCGAGGGAAATTTCCTGTGAGGTATCTCGTATTTCCTTTAAATTTTAAGAAGATCTCGGTTAAAGATTGTGCCCCCTCATTGATTTTGTTGCAAATAAGTTGCAGAGATAAAAAGCAAGGACTCTTTCTTACTCTAACAGATTACAACTTATCCAATCTGTGGTGTAGGGGATTCAGAATTTTTGGACTTGCGAGTTGGCTCTCCCTAGTGTTGTTGTTGATTAGATTAACCAGCTTTTCTCGAGGTTTTTCCGAAAGGGGGAGGACAAGCCTGTGAAAGAGGCTAAAGTAAGGTGGATTGTCATTTGCTCTCCTAAGCCCTAAGGGGGCATTGGTCTTAAGGATATTAAAGGTTGGAAGTAGATATATTTTCTACTTCTTATCAGGAAAATTTTGCTGAATGATGGTTCAATATGGGTTGTCTGGCTGCATTCTTACATCATTGAGGATAATTCCTTTTAGGATATTGCTTGTGCCTAGAATTGTAGTTGGACTTGGAGGACTATTTTGCAACTTAGAGTCAAAGCTGCTTCGATCCAGAGGTTCTTGTCTCTAGGTACTGTGGCTATGATTTGACAGGAGATTCAGTGTAAAAGGATCAAGGTTCCTTGTGTGAGGTTGGTTTGGCATACGAGGGGCATCCCTAAGAATGCTTTAATCTCGTGGATGATGGTTTTGGACAGGTTAACTACTAGAAGTAGGCTCATTTCTTTTGGTATGACCATTGATTGTGAGTTTGGTCTTTGCATAAAGGAGAGTGAGACCATGGATCATTTGATTTTTGAGCGTGAGGTCTCTCGACTTGTTTGGAGTAGTGTTCTGGCTCTTTGCAGGAAAAATAGACATTTGATTGGGTAGAGTGATGAGTTTAGTTGGACGTGTCCTACGCTTAAAAGGGAAGTCCTTGAAACCATAGGTGTTGAAGCTGACATGGAGCAACTGCATTGCTATGATTTGGAATCCTAGGAATTATAAATTGTTTCGAGGAAGTTTGTTTACTATATGTGGGATGGTGGATCAAGTGAAAGAGATGGTGATACATAAAATGTGGGGTAAGAAATTGAATAGCGAGGGTCATGTAAGTTGAGATATTTGTATAGTTTGGTTGTAGCTTTGTTTTGGTTTATAAATGTATTTATTCATCTAAAAAAATATCTCAAATACATTATAAGCGCAAAATATTTAGAAAATAATTATTTAATATATTACAAGTATTATTATTTTTTAATATTTATTTTTAAGTATATTTATTATGCATAGTGGGTGTACGAGAATGGTACATTAGAAACATAATGAAATAGTATAAAATCATATTATAACGTGTTTAATTTTTATCCCATACTTAACTCATCACCTACAAAATATGTATCCATCTCGATACTAAATAAAATAAATAAAACGAGTCTCACAAAATCCTTGCTATTAACCTCCCTAATTTCAATATAAGGAAAGTACACATATCTCCCAATTACAATACATTATTTTGTTAAATCTTTCGATTATTAAAAATTATAAAATAGTCATTTTGTTATTTATATATATTTCAAACTCGTCATTTCCTATTATAGAATTGACGATTGTCTAAATTTGATGTTAATTTGTTAAATGAAATATAATAAAATCATATTTTAATGATATCTACAAATACCATTATTACTTTCAAGTATTGACTCAATGACATAATGTTTCAAGCATTAACTCGAAATCATAATGCAAATTGAGACTCGGTCCATAAAATACAATCAAACGATTCTAAGATCATATTTTATCATATCTCAATCAATAAATTAAAGTTTAGCTCAACAAAAAAGAATAAATTTAAAACATATAAATAGTTCAATAATTATTTTATAACTTTTTAATAATAAAAAAACTCAACAAATTAAGATTCTATAATTGAAATACCATTTATGTACTTTATCCTTTCATAAAATAAAATAATTCCTAATTTATACCGAAATATTAGGTTTGGGTAGATTTATGTTAGGAATAGCCCGTGATTGGGTTAGATTCTCTTAGTTTCCAGTCCTTGAAATGGCTTCACCTAAAAACGACAGAGTTTCACTAGTAATTCTCGGAAAGAAAGGGTCAAATCCTCTCTAAATACCCTCTTTGCTTATCGAAAGATAATTTGGATCCAAAGCTCCCCCTCTCTGCGTTTGGATCTAAGCGTTTGGATCTAAAGAGCATCTACTCTCTCAAACCCTAATATAAGAATCGCCTCTCTTTTGATTAGCTTTCCGTTTTTGGCGGGATAAGCTGAAGGTTTCCCCTAAAACGCCCAAGGTTTTACAGCTACAATTTTTCTTTTCTTAATCTGACATGTTCTAGGGTTTCGTTTCCCTTTTCGGTTTCGTATTATTCGGTTGTTGCTGAATCAACAGATGTCTCGGTGTTTTCCGTATCCTCCCCCGGGGTACGTAAAGAACGGAATCCGCGATGAGGCACTGATTGAATTGATTAAGGTTTTTGGAGCAAATCCCCAATCGAATGCAAAGCTTTTTTTTGAGGGGGGGGGGGTTTTCACCCTTTCTGCTCGACTGCTATAATTCGCTTTCCTCTGCTTTGCTTTTGTTTGTATAGCAAAGAGACAAGGGAAAAATATATATTTGGTGTCAGAGAGCTGAGTGTTAGTAAGAGGGTTAATTCCTAATTAACATGTGTTGCATATTATGGCTATAAAAGATGTGAAGAGATTGGATAGAGAATCAATCAATTTCATTGTAACCGTTTCCTTACCGGCCATGCCATTTGTTCGTTTTCTGGATTTCTTATAAAATAGGAGAGTTGTTAATAATAATGTTAAACTTTAACTAGGGAAATTGAACCCAAATAATTAAGAAATGAAATGTTGCCTTTTGTTATCCGTTCGTTTGTGTATCTGAATTGTAGAGAGGCAGCAATTGTTATTAGTTCAGTATCTAAAGGAACAATGTGAATGTATGAACAGTAGTGTGGAAGTTCTATTGAAGCTTAAAATTGAATTGTTAGGACACTAGCTAGAATTTAATGAAATTGTATTGGCCTCCTAATGAAATGTTGCTTGAAAATGGAACCTAACTTTTAGTACAGCTGCATGTAAATTTGCATTGGAGAGTGGAACAAAGAATCATGCAAATTTATAATGGGACTGGTGTAATCAATTGTGAGGCTTACAATCATTTGTTATTAGTAAACTTTACTACATAGAGGGAATATTTCATTTGTAATTGTTCTTGCTGAAGTTGGTTCAAGGACTGCCCGTGTTCCCTTATTGCTGTTTTGCCTGTTTGAATTTGCTTCCACAGTATGTTCATAAGCTGACTCTTTCTCTTGTGATTTGTAGATTAAAAGAGAAGAAGAGAAGGCCAAGAAGGATAGGAAGAAAGAAAAGAAAGATAAGAAAGAGAAAAAACGGGAGAAGAAAAAAAGAGACAAGGCCCTGGACATTGGAGAAACCAAAAGTAAAAAGCATAGTCATAAGAAAAGGCATAAAGACGAGAGCAGCCAAGAAGGTCAAAAAGGAGGAGACTATCAAAAGAGAAGAGAAAATGAAGTTGAATGTTATGAGAAGAGTACGCTTACTGAAGAACATGGTTATGCAGTGGGACCCCAGAACTCCTCCGATAGCACCCTTAACAGCAGTAAAAGACAGAAGTTGAGCTTGCCCCCTGACAGTGGGCATAATTCTGGTGAGTGTGTTTGTATCTCTTCCTTACCTGGGAGAGGCTGTTTACTTGTTGGGGTTGTTTTCTTCACATGGGCACTGATACTGTGTATTCCAATTGTTATTATTAATGTGAAGGAAGCATTATCCGGATCCGGTTGCCTTCTCAAAGGCATAAAGATCCTGAAGTGCTACCCACCAAGGAGCAGCCTTGCTCTACCACAGGAAAGATTGATGAGGCCTTTGTTCAAGAGACGCTTGGATTGCCTTCTCAAGGGCATAAAGATCCTGAAGTGCTACCCAGAAAGGAGCACCTTTGCTCTACCTCAGGAAAGATAGATGAGGCCTTTGTTCAAGGGACGCATGAGCATGTTCCTGGAACAGGCAGAGAACTGGAAGAACATCTTTGTTCTACTGCCAATATTAGGCTCCCAGAGTTAACTCCCAAGCTCAGCAAAGAAAAACCTTTCTCATCTTCTGGTGCATCAGAAAGTGTTGCTCGTAGTGCTCAGGCATCATTGTCAACAAGCTTGTGCAGCAGTTGCTCTCCTACACTAGCTTTGGGATTCAAAAATCTTGTGGAGGATTGGGTTGTGCCTACACAGCAGACTGACATAACCAGTTTTGTTGATGAGGACTGGCTGTTTCAGAGGAAGCGAAACCTCAACAATGGGGTCAAAAGCAACAAAGATGAAAATATCGGCTCGAGTCAAATGAGCTCAACAAGTTGGCCACATGCTCGCTTCTTGCCCGATGCTGATATATATGCTTTACCTTTCATGGCACCGTTCTGAACTAAACATGCCGAGCCGAGAAAAATGCATGCAAAGTGTGAGAACTAGAAAACGGTTACTCCTTTTGTTCCAGGTGCTGAAAGTGTGAAGAGTTTGTTGCCAGCATTTCAGCTCCTTTCTTCCGTTTACGTCTAGGATTAGGACTTAGATCGAGGACAGATTTTGTGCGGCGACCTTACTGGCGAAATGGATTAAGCCTATACTTTTTCTTTCAACCTTATTGGTGTAAAAAAGAAAAGAATATATCATTGATGTATTACAGAATTCGGTTCTTTCCAGTAACATGAGTATTACTCATTGTTCATATGGTCATGTTACCCTTCCATTACTATTTTCTTGCATTTCCGTGTTATTGCTTTTTATAAATACATGCAAGTACAAATACTTGAATAATTGAGTTCGGATTTATAGGGAATTATGGTCCTTTGCTTCTTGATCCCCCATTGCTAAAACGATATAAATGGTCATTGTCGTAACCTCTTTTTTTGACCAACGAATAAATTTTTGATGAGAACTTCGAATTTACGATTTATTTGGAAAAATTGATTTTTTTGTGTTTATTTTAATTAAATTGATTTGGAGTCGACATCAATATTTGGGTTAGGTAGGTCGAATACCTAAAAATGTATTTTAAACAATTTTAAGAAAAATCATTTTTAAGACAAAAAAACTAGTATGCACTTGTCAAAGATTCGTTTTAGGTTCGGGAATCGATTACACGTGGGGAAGGGTTAGTACCCTCACAACGCCCAAAAATTGATACCTAATCGCTTGTATGTGGTCGTGGTGGTAGAAATTATAAATTCAAATAGAAAATTAAATTATGATTCATTTATTGAACATTGATTAATTTATTTCGAATTATTTAATAAAGAACATTCCTTATTTTGAGAAAAAAACCTAGGGAATTTACACTCCAACTACTAGGAATGTTATCTCATTGATTTCTTCTCTACAAAAGAATGTCCTCTCCTTATTCATGGTAACAAGAACATATGAGTCGAATATAAATTGAATATTGGTGATTGCATAAAATAACTTACTATTTAAAGAAAGAAGCATTGTCATCATTTGAATTAAAATAAAAATGAATTAATTTTCATTTTTATAAGAATAAACTCGATTCATTACAAGTTCACTTTTCGTTCGAATATCGTATCGAATCGCACTACTTCGATCAAGCAATGCTTTTCACCCCATTCTACGATATATGTTCTCGAAAATACACGAGAAAAGACATTAAAAAAGTAACAAATAAAAGGAACATTTTACAATTTCTCGAAAATATTGATTCTAAAAAAATTAATGCATATATATAAATATATATAATGGTATTTTATAATTTTAATATGCAACTATGTTACAATATCACTTTAAAAGAAAATAACATATCCAAATATATAAAAAAAGAATTAAAATAAAAAAACAGAGACTATATGTGCAAATTTAAAAACTTAAAATAAGGATTAAATCAAATCAATGGAGGAACTACAGGGACTAACATGCGATTAACTCATATTATCTCAAGTGAAAATTAAGCTGTAATAGTGACCAAAGTATATTCAAAACCAAAGTCAAGGGGTTAAAACATAAATAGAGCATGCACTTCCTGTACACAGTAACTAGTGACTAAAATATAACCTTCGTAAATACCATAGCCAAAGTCAGTTATCAATAGAAATGCAATAATAAACAAGATAAAGACTAAAATAAACTAACAAAAATATGTACTACTTAAGCATAAGTGAAATAAAATACAATGGCCACCATAAATATAAACGTAAAAATATATATAAGCAAAAAGGATGAAAATAAAGCATAAAACAAATAAGGAGCTAGAAATAAAAGGAAATAAAAGTTTCATTTAATGTTAAAAATGGAAAGCTTACAAACTGTAGGGACCAAACGTGTTATTATTCCCCAAACCAGGCGCACGGTCTCCTATTAGCCCAAAACGATGACGTTTCGAAGTTACTATATATTTATTTGTATAGGATTATGGAACCTTAAACCTCATTCTCATCTTTTCATACCCGCCGCTCTCCTCTAACCCTCTCTGCTATCTTATTCTCAGGATAGAGAGGAGAAACCCCTAAGGCCACCAAAAACGACGCCAACGAAGAGGAGGTGACCGTTCGTCGAAACAAAAAGGTAGGTTTTCCTCTCTTTTTTTGGTTCATTCGAATGGTCTCTTTCTCCTCTCTCGATCTTCTTTGCTAAAATGAGTTCTCTCTTTTTGGTTCGAAAATGGTCTCCCCCAAATGAAAATTTTCATGGGTTTTATATCGCCCATATTACATATTTAAAAATAAAAAGGAAAAATTGTTGATTTTTCTTTGTTTGATGCTGATGGAGCACATGAGTTGTCGTGGAAAGTGTTGGAGATGGCAGGGCATAGTGATGCAGTTGAGTAGGTGTAGCAGGGCATAGGGGGCTGCAACAGGTATGGTTGTGGTGATTTTTGTATTTTTGTAATAATAATAATAATATATGTGGGGTAAAATATTGGTGATTACAGTTACCCTTTTTACTCATTTCTGCGAAACATGAATAGAGCAAAGACATAAAACATCAATTTTTCAGATTGTCAACAAGTCTCAAGCTCCAAATTCTTCTTATTATGAACTCCTCACTCCTTTTTAAAGGCAACTGTTGAGGTTGAGTAAGCTCTTCTTTATGAACTTCTTCTCACTCCTTAGACGAGTTCTTCTTATTGTGAACCATTCCATTGGAAATGATGATCCACCTCATTCTATGATGGATTTGGATTTTTCAAAACTTAAGATGTGGACTCATTCTTTGCTGAAATCTTCTTCTTCAACATGGAATTATGAAATGAATTCTTTGATAGCTCTGAATTCCTGTCTAATAAATGAGTGGAAAGAAATTTGTTTCAAGATAAGCTATCTCAAGTGAGATAAAATTTTATTTCGAGTGAAATAATTTCAAAATTTATATTTCAAGGGAAACTGTCTCAAGCGAGACGAAACTTTGTTTTGGGAGAAACAATCTCAAAAGTTTATGTTTCAAGAGAAACTGTCTCAAGCGAGAGTAAATTTGTTTAAAGAGAAACAATCTCAAAGGTTTATGTTTCAAGAGAAACTGTCTCAAGTGAGATGAAACTTTGTTTCGAGAGAAACAATCTCAAAGGTTCATGTTTCAAGAGAAACTGTATCAAACGAGAAAAAATTTGTTTCAAGAGAAACAATCTCAAAGGAGACAAAATTTGTTTCAAGAGAAACTGACTCAAGGGAGACAAACAATCTGCTCCTTTATGTTGAGGAGATCTAGTTTTCTTTAGAAGATCTGATCATTCACTTCAGGACGTCAAACCTATGAATGACTTTGTTCCTTCATGTTGAGGACGTCTAGTCATCACCAAACTTTTCTTTCCTGAAAGATTTATAAAAAATGATGCATTTATGAATAACTATCTTGGATGTTTTTATGGATGTCAAGATGAAGTTTATTTTATGTATTTGATTTTTATTTTAATAAAAATGACCTTTTTTTAATTTATCCTCATGAGAGGAGAAAATGATCTTGAGAATGGGAAATTAGATGATGTCTTATTGAAAGGAAAATAATGGCCTTTAAGAAAAATGAAATAAGGATTTCAGGGAAAAACAATCTTAAGAAAGACTAGATTGATGTTCTTAGAAGAACAATCTTGAGAAAGAAGAAATTAGTTTCTCAAAAGAGATTATAAAGGCATCCTCATGAGAGGGGAAACAAAGTTTTATCGCATGCGATGATGAATGTATGAGATGCAAAGGTGCAAATTCATGTGACGCGTATGTTTATGTTGATGCATGCTTTTTTGATCAATAGTTAGAAATAGACGCACGAGCAGTTTTCATTGTCTTCCTGATTCGGTTGTCTTCATTTTCCACCAGAGTGTACTATTGCAAACTTTGACCTGTGACAATTTGTTCATCTTGCCTCGTTAAATTTTGCACTAAAAATTTCGGCTTCCCTTGCCCCAGCTTCGATCATGAACTTCTGTTTCTGAGATATTTGTTGAATTCCAAGATACACTTCCATAGAGATTATCTTGTTTGAAAATGTTTTCTTCCTTTGAAAAGTTCGATGAAGAAATTTAAAAAAATATGTGAATTTTATTGTTGAAGAAACTAAAATAATGCCCCATATTTAGGCTCACAATTGAAACAAATCACAAAACATGAGTTAATTGAATATCAAAAGAATCAACCGCTCTTTTAATCTTTCATAGTTACAATTGTTTAACAAGTGTCAGGATTGGCATGTTGGTTGAGGTTAGCTACCTAAAATTTGAGGTTTATTTCATCGATTCGACATTCTTCTTTTTTTCTCGGTCCTTGTGAACATTATGACACGCCCTTCTTTCTTGGCTTGGCATTTTGATTGGACACAAACAAAATGATGCAACTAGCATAGTCAATTGCTAGACTTTTTAGAATATTTATATTTCGGTTCTCTGAAATCTTTCATTTGTTCAAGCTTCAAAGGTTCCTTTAGTAAAAGCAGTACATAAATATCAGTCTAAAAACATAATTCATGTGTGCTTGTGTGAAGTTGACTATAATAGACGTTTCTCAACTCCCTTAGTCCACCATCCACCGATACTCCTTATTAATTCAAACCTTGAACTTTTGTCATTTTCTTGAATTTTTTGCTTTGATTTAGTTTGCCATTATTTTAGCATAGCTGAGGGATTTATCTTATCACAAAGTATTTGACTTGACTGCCACAGTGGAGCAAACACCGAATTTCCAGGTATCCGATGAATGACACAATTTTGAATATAATCTATGCATAAAGCTAGGACTTTTGAGTTTTCTCTCTAATAAATTGCTTTAGCGGAATATCTTTAGCTTTATTGCATTTACCTTATAAAAATATTTTATTAATTTTCTGGGTATCAAGATTCAAGATTTCTTAAGCTCGTTTAGAAGAATATATTATAGTCTGGGTGTCGCTAAGAGTTAGAGAATTTCATCTTTAGAGTTTAATTTCCAAGCAACTGACCTAAACTAAATTCATCTACTCAACTATTCCATTTGTAAAGATCATGATCATCATCGAATGCCAAGCATAAAAGTATAATCTAATCAGCTTTGCAAGAACATACATGAAATGCCATATTTTGTCCGCTCCTAACACATACATGAATGTCAAGCCCTTTGATTGTCTCTTCGTAGTAGTATGTGGTTATATTGGTCCCAATAAAAGAAGGGTGTCATATTCGGGTGTAGTTTTTAGTTTAGGATCAAGGGTCCTTATTTTGCAGAGGTTCAATCTTGTCATTTGTCAAAGATTTAT